AATAATGATTATTGACCTTTAAGTATTGCGTAACCATCTATAAATCGGAAGAAAACAATGTATATTTTTCAGTGAAAACAAGGAAACACTTTGTTCTATATTCCTGGTGAGTTTCCTCAATAATGGAAAACTATTGCGATCCACCACTTTCCAATAAAGTTCCAGCATTTGCTTATTTATACTTTTCAGAAAACGTATTTAATTTTTTTCTTCTTCTAATAGAAATGAGGCGCATCGAAAGGTAGGTGTTATGAGTGGGCTGCGATTCCTCGGATTTCAATTCAGACATTCGCGGATATTTAAATCCTTTGTCGTCTTTCGATACCCGAGAGCCTCGGGATGCACAGGCATAAGAAAATAATAGGATTTACGGTCGCCCACGTAAAACGGAAATATATATACTAACGATCCCGGCGACACCTCGTACAGTTACGCAACATCCGTCACGTAACGTCGGGTGCGGAATCGTATTGCTAATTATAAGGCGTCGCTGCTGGTGTTTTCCTAAGATATTTTCTATTACATACATTCATTATCAAGTAATTATAGGATTATTTTTTATTACAACATTCAAAATTTGACAACAGCGTTAATATTCTTATATAATTTTCAACTTATATTTCAATTCAATTCAATGATATTTTTACTAAAAATTCAACAATGGTTTAAACTTATTAAATTGAAGAAAAATTTTTTGTTCAAATTTGTTAATTTGAAGTTGAAACTGAGAAAAGTCTGAAGTCGAAAAGTACAACTAAAAAAGTATTTTCAGTTTAGTTAAGTTATGAGAAGTGTTAGATGTTATTTTGATTATCTAATATAATTATATTCAATTGAGATTAAAATTTTTAATTAATTGTTCTAGTTGGAATAAATGTTATAATGAAAAAAGATCAAGTTAATTGGTAAAGTATAAATGTAGTAATTGGAAATGTTAAAGTTGACAATGCGTTTTAGAGATCAAATTGATCCATTTTAAACTGTACAAAGTTGTTCATGTCGTAAAATGTGTGTCTTCTGTGTTGGGAGAGAACTGATCAACTTGTTGGCTGATGCAGTCAGACGAAAGGAACAAACTAAAAAACCTATTCTTCAACCTAAATCGAATAACGCCGTCATCGCAATTCCCGGCATCTCCGTAACACCATTCCACGAGATTTACTCGAAACAATCACCTTAACGAACAGAATACCCGATTTAATCATGCTTCCATTGTCATCCCAACTCGAAAAAATAAAGAAAACTACATCATCATAAAACGCAACGCGCGTTAAAAAAAAGTTATATTATTATTATACACATCGATTTTGCGTTCTGTAATTATGAAACGAGGATTTTTTTTTGTTGAGTTATAAAAAAAGCTCTAATAAATTTTGCCGGCTTTAATTAGCCCGGCAAATAAAAGCTCTCCTCCAGCGGGAATTCCATATCCCGCAAAATGCATAGGCGATCGTAAATGCAAACAAAGCATCTAGAGATTTTTTTGCTCTTCCATCATATTTTTTTTATTTATATATATATATTAGCCAGAAGATCCTAATAGAATACCTGATGCTGACATCAATGCCCTGGTTTCACGTGTCCGTCCATTTACAGCAAATATTGTAAATCGTGTAATAGAACGTTATATAATCATCCCCTTTGTTGCACCGAAAATACTTTTGTGCACGAAAAACTAAGCGGATTACGTTCCAATTTTTTCAACTAGTATACTTTTCCTTCCACTAATATTTCTTTTTTACTTCTGATAAATTAACTATTTGTCATCATATTATACAATGTTCAAATTAAAATACTAAAAAGAAAAGATAAACTTAATTTTAACTAAGGTTGTTGAACCGGGAATTCTCGGGAAATTTGGAAAAATATATAATCTCGATACTCGGAAATTGAGAATCGAGAAATTTCAGATGATCTTAATGAAAACTGGAAACAAAACCAACAATTTATATTTTTATTTTTATTCATTTTTTACATCGAGTCCCGAGAATTCCCGGGAATATGTTAAACAGTTGTCTCGTGTCCCGCAAAACAAAATTGGAAACTGAGCAACCCTAAGCAACCTAGTTGATTTCAGTGTTATAAGCAATTAATACATAGTAGATATATTGTAGTTTTTTGAAAATTTCCGTGCGATATATGAGATATGTTTTAGAAAATATATCAAAAAACAATTAAAATAAATATTTTCATTATTATTTATATCAATTGTATTTAAGATAACTTTACAATTTTTTTTTATATGTTATGTGAAAATACTGTACTTACTTTTATAAGTTTATAACTTAATGCGATATTTATTACGTAAAGTTGTATAAAGCTCTACAGAAAGTAGGTACTATACTTATTTTAACGGTGGCGATTTTAACTCGCAGATTATGAAAAGAAAGTGAAGAGAAAACACGTTACAAAATGCGAAATGCCCTTTACGTTTTTACATTTATTATGCAATTCTGTATGAAATTTCTTGTCGACGTAATGGCAAACCACAGGATATGCTTAAGGCGAAATCGATATCAGAGCTGGTGATGTGTGAATCCAAAACCACGGTTGACCTTTGTCACTAGCTGTGGTGGAGGGGATTTCAATTATGTGCACGTGAAGAAGTATGTGCATTGAACATGATACCAGCAGTATTACACATTGATCACATTGTTTCGCCTGCTTCTCGATGTATTAAAAGCCTGTCTAGTATCCGTCTAATAAGGGCAAAGGGCGCCATCGAATGTATAGAGAGAATAAAAAAAATATATGGAAGAATCAACGAAGGAATGAGATGAGTGCAGAACTCGGTATTTAATGGATTGATATGGTTGTACATAAATCATTCAATTTGGTGGCTTTGACATCTTCTCGTCGATTTTGTAGATCTTCCTGATAGGAGCGAATCTTATGTAGATGCAATCAATTAATTAGCACCAGTTTCGGTTCTGACTTCGGCGTTTGCTTTCCCAGTACAGACAAGAAACGCACCCAATGTTCCAGTCCTGTGGTATTCCGTGAATTTGTGATGAGACGTTGGCTTTGACATTAACATGCAGATGGAAATACCGAATACAAGTTTGAACAACAATAGTTATCCACTAATTAAAATAAGGCGTTTAAATAAAACAGGTGGATTATTACTAACTTAAGAAAAGTTAAAAACATTTAATTATGTAATTACATAAATATGTACAGACTAAAAAAGTTTCAAATAGAAATCATAAATTATTTTTATTAATTCACATTAAGTTGAGTTAATTATTGAAATTGGTTAACTTTGACATTAACATGCAGATGGAAATACCGAACCCAAGTTTTAACAACAATAAGACTAATTTGTTATAACGCAGACCCATTGCCGTCTAAAAAAAGTCCTAAATTTAAATATTATTATTTATTTATTATTTAAAAACGCTAAACGAGGTTTTACTGTACTTGTTTACAAAATATTATTGACCCTAGTATCTCCTTCTCAATTTTAATTATTTGTTAAATAAACACATGATATTCAATTTGATTGTGCTAATATTTCATTAAACAAACTTATTTGCAAAATAGTAATAAACTTTAATACTCTTAATTATTCTACGTGTACATGTAAAGTATATAATCAAGATACATTTCATAGTAGAAACTATTCCAATTACATAAACTTTATAATAAGCAACAGAAAATATGGTTTCTACACTAATGATCATTTTAATTTTTTATTAAATATTTCCAATATACTTTTTGTCTAAATAAATTGGTAATATTTAATAAACAAAAACTATTTTGTAATTCTCTCATCTCTTTAGATATTTTGTGAGAATTAGTGCTTAATTAATTTGTTAACTTAAATTAATAATTTGTTAATATTTTTATGAAATATTGTTAAGTATTTTACATAATTGTAATTAATCTAAATAGGCTTTATAAGTTATCAGTTTGTTATCTTTCGAAACTTGAGAGTTTTCAGTCAATAGAGTTTCCTAAAGTTTCAAGTGTTCCCTCTTTGTAACTTTATAGGGTAATCTTCCACCGACTTGCATTGTTACAAATATTTGTTAACAATATTTATTTACTAGAATATTTTCATAATTTGTTCATTCTTTAACTAAAATCATAAGTAAATGTTTATATTAAATAAAAAGTAAATTATTTTTCTGTAATTATTTTCTTATGTAACTTTAACAATAAATATAATTAATTATTACATTTTCCGTATTTCATATTTTTATTTACAAGACATGCAATGATTATGAAACATTTACGTTTTGTGAATAATTTAAAATAGAAAAATGTAAATAGAATGAATAATTTTCAATGATTTTTGATGGAAAATTCTCGTTTTTTTTAATTGTTTCAAAGAGTGGATGTTCTTTAGATGCTGCTGGATGCAAATCATGTGCTTTGTAAAAATAGGGTAAGCAATGTTTGTTGGTATTTTGCAATGAGTTTGCGTATCCAAAATGTTTAAAGGGATGAATGAAGTTGACTGTATGATGAGCGAAGGGTTTTCTTTGATAAATAATTAAAACGGTGATTAAGGGGGGCGCATCGGGGTTCGGCGGAGAGATTCCGCGTTTTGTAGAGATGCGTGCGAACCCGCGCGGGGGCGGCAGCGGAAAAAACATGAATGAGCGGGTGTTTGATTCTGTCCGGAAGGGTGGCGCGCGTGGAGTGAGACAGAAGGCGAATGGGTTGTGAAGGGGTGGTGGTGGTGGATGATTGGGGGCGGGTTGAGAGCGGGCGTCGGCGCATCCGGCAGGTGTGGGTCGCGATCGCAATCGATCGATGGGAGGTGGGTGGCGGTGGCGGCGTTAAACTTGGCACCGGGACACGCCGTGCGTCCGACGGAGACGGCGCCAGGCGGGGCGCGTCGCTGTTAGGCGCGGGCGTCGTTGCCGCCGACGCGCGTCCGACGTCGATTCCGGGCGTCGTCCGCCATCTTGGTATACGGTAGAGATGCAGTTGGAAAAGGACGGAGGGTTTGGAGGGACGGAGGGGCGGATGGATGGAAGGACTGAGGGACGGTTGGACGGACGGGGGAGGTGCGCGACGACCGCAGCACGAGCATCCCGAACGCGCACCATCGCGCACCGACGCGCAACGCCTCGCAGCAGTCGTCGCGACGTACGAACCCGCGCCCATCGCGTTACAATATCGCGATCACTTATTCATCGAAATGGGTGTAACGCACAAAGAGTATCAACGGTAGGGTGTGCTGTGCGCCAGGGTGAACAAGTGCCATGAGCACGGGGGGTGAATAAAGTGCAGTGCATACTGACCGGCCGTGTTTATTGCCGCTCCGACTCCTCTCATCCACTCATCCAGCAGCAGCACCATCTTCGACGGGCGCCTCTGGCTGCACTCGCTCCGACAACCATCCGACGCTCTCTTATCACGGTGCAGAACACCAATCGATAACACCTACATTCAACAAGAAACTGATACTAAAACACAATCAGATAAACAACAACAACAAACAAACAAACTTTAACACCACAAACAACAGTTTCCAAACAACACATTCTTTTCATTTCGAATCTCTTAAGACATGGTTCTCGCTTCCGGACCAGCAATTGGCACGTGTTGCGTGCACACCCATGGCCACTGATAAAGGTAACTTAGTCGTATCACCATTACCCAACACAATCGATTATTCTTAACATGTAACAAGTGCATTACTTTATGCAACAAGTTAGCATCGAAATTGCGCCCTCCCCCGCAGCGAACGCAAAACACTATTATTATTATTATTATTATGATATTATTATTTTTTTTTCCTCCTCTGCTCCGAAAAAGATATATAAACCAGCGAACATGACCTCATTCCAAACCGAATGGGAAACACATAAACTATTAAAAAAACCTTCAAATATTACACAACTCTTTCTCCCGTCTCTGTCTTCTTTACGTTTTTTTTCTTCTTCTTTCTTAATATGTTTGGCGCCCGATTTACTTCGTCTCGTTTTCTCACATATCACAAATTTCTTTCAGTATCCTCAACAGGTAACATGTATATTATTAATCGGCAGTTAAGGCAACGGGAATCGATTCCCGTGTTCCTCGGTGTCCGTTCCATTTCGTTATGTTTTTTTTATTTTCATGTTGTCCCACTTTTTCACGCACGATTCAAACGCATACGCCGCATGTCTTTTAGCATTTAAGAGATCACCCATCATTATAAATATACTTGTAAGCTTCTTACTGACTGACAAATTTGATTTTATTTTTTTGGTTCAATTTGTTAGTCCACTCGCATTCCTTAGTACATAAGATGGTCAAACGTCTCCTTTGTTCATTGTTATATAATATGATTACTATTACTATTTTTTTGCTATATTCATTGTCTATATATTTAGTAATTTGCTGATATATAACATTAAAAAAAAACTTTATTTTGGTATTTTAACAATCAATATACAATTACATATACAATTGTTATTATAATTTTTATATACACTTTTTTATGTCTATATCAATATTTTAGTAATTATTATTTCCAATTAATTACTTATAAATAAAGATATTTATTTTAAATTTATTTCACACACAAAAAAAAATAATTTATTAATTAATTACATCAAAATACTATAGAATGCAAGTAAATAAATCAAATATATATCGAAATAAATCAACATTAATTTAATTATGAAATGAAAATATTAATAATAGTTGCAATATTTGTTACAATTATTATATTAATTAAATAAATACAATTAATTATGAACTAAATATATTACAGAATGTAATCAATAATTAAATTTCATTCAAAGGAAATGAAATGCAATTCAGATTGTTTTTTTTAATTAATTTGAAATTTTCAAAATATTTTATCCGAAGCAACAATAATAACGCTTAGAGCACGTTTTCGTTTTTTGGTTTCTGGTTTGTTGCGTAAAATGTTAAAAGCTTTTGCATTAAACCTTTCGTATGCATTTCATACTTATAAATAATAAAAATCCATTAACGAAATGGTCGATGATGGAAAATGTTTTTACTATATTTACAGCTATTCGTTACAGTACATTTCAGTAATTGTTGTTTAGTCCATTTTCTTTTTTATTTTGTTGTTGATTCGTAAACATTTTCAGCTGAAACATTGATTATTCAAATGTAACACAAATCCATTTTTAAATAAAAAAAATATATATTATTAACAAAATTAACAAAATTTTAAATTTTCGGCATAAAATTTCCGAATTTATTTGTTCCAAAAAAAGTGTTTTAAATAAAAATGTTTTTTTTAATAATAAAAAAAGAAATGAATGAAATTTAATGAAATAAAAATCATTTTCCAACTGAATGAGTAGACGAAAATGTTTGAGAAAAATCCATCAAACGGTCGGCTTTTAGCAGAGCTTAGACCCGTTAATGGAATCCGAGTGCCCAAAAATGATCCCTTCCCCCGCGCCATTACGTAAGAGGATTAGCGGCGATATTACATAATGCAGAAAATCACGTTGACGAACGATACCCACTGCTAATGGCCAATATTGTAAATATTGAATGAGTCTATTTCGACCCAACTCAAAGCACTATTTCATTTTGAATCAATGTAAATATATGCATTAGGGTTGCTGAACCGGGAACAAAATTCCCGGGAATTTTTAGAAAAATCTATTGTCTCGATACCCGGGAATTATCGTTCGAAACTCTAGAAATTTTCATGCAATATTGACAGTGACGAATATTTTTGCGATTAAAAATAAATTTTCAATAGTTTCAGTAATTTCATTCATGAAAGCACGATATTATTAGAATATGTATTTCAATTGAGATTCCAGTAAAAATATAATTAAACAGATAGTTAAATATATACATAAAATTTATGTCCAATTATATACAAATATTTCATAAAAAAATATATAGATTTATAAGGGCATTGAACCTTTAAGGGAAATGAAAATGAAATTTCAATTATGTTTACAAAATAATATAAAAAATGTGAAAAGAAAAATAGAATAAATTGAGGTTAGTCTTGAAAATTGAGTAATCTTTTGAAAGGATTCTATAAAGTACTTCTTCAGTTCAACGGCTTTTCTATCGTGAACGTTTATATTGAAAAAAAAATGAAAGAACGAACGAAGATGCGAAGGGCAGTAATATTAAACGTTCTGCGAAGATTTAATATGTGCGCCCGGAATATTTGTTGATCTTGTCCCTACGAAGGGCGCAACGCTAAGAATTCCGTCCCAACCATTTACTCATCCGAATAAAATTTGAATGCCATTTCGGCATATTCCATCATTACTTCAGATTAAACAACAACAAAAAAAAGTTTGATTTTGTGAATTTTTTTGTTGAAAACCTATAAAATTTAAATGCCATTTCGGCATAGTTAATATATCTTAAACAAAAAAAAACAACAATTTAGTGAATTTTGTTGTGGGAAAACTGGTTTTCCTGCAATTAAAAATATGATGAAAAAAAAAAGAAGAAAATCTGCGTGTCATTATTATTATTTTCGTTGTTTGTTTGCGTATTGTTTCGGGAGATTACACGAAATGCGAAATTTCAGGGGGGAAAATATAAAATAAAATAAAGAGTCGTCATTTCGCGTGTGCCTCAACTTTTATTGATCAAATAAATTAAGGGTCCGTCACAAAGCTTCGTTCGCTGCGTATATAAATATAAATAAAGTACGAAAGAAAATATATAAATAAATATATAAAATAAGGTAAAAGAATTTTGTTTGTTTTTTAATCGCCTGTAAAGCGCTTATATGAGGGACTGTCCATAAGGTTTTGGTGGGGGCGATGTGCGCAATGGATGTGCAATTGTGTGCATGTATTTGAACCACCCCCGTTTCTCCTACCCTTCTTTCGGTGTTGTTAAATTGGTAAATCTGCACATGATAAAGCTCTAAATGCAGCCCGGGACTTGCTTCTAGCTACGGGTCTGCAGAAGCTCGGCCCATTCCGGGCGGTGTCTAGGCTAGATTCGCGCATAGTCGGCAACGGTCGTCCGCCTTCCTCAACGCAGACACAACAGAAACTGCAATCAGTTCGCTTCGAACCGGCCAAAGTCGGACAACACAACCCGGCGGCTCCACAAAGCGCACTTCAACCGCTCGCAGGTAACCAGCATCACTTGTTCCTCATCCGACGAGACAGAAGCAACTACAAAGGTAACGTTTTATATAATACATCTCGATAATTATCCAATGCATTTTAATATTTTCTTACAAAATAAATACAAATTCATACAAAACAATACAATTTTAAAAATGATATTTATCAAATGCAATTAAAAATTAATTACTTTATTATTATATCTAAATTAACTAAATTCAATTTTAAACAAATAAAATAATTACTCATAAATATTTAAGTTTGAAATTATTATTAAATTAATTAATAAATATTTTAAAATGCAATGAAATTTATTATCAAATTAATAAAAACAAGTGATGAAATTTATGCGTTTTATTGAAATACAATTATTTTCAACTGAATTAATTAAATTGAACTTTGCTTTCAAACAACTAAAGTTCGCAACAAAATGAATAATCCAATTAATTTATAAATATTTTATATACTCACTCACGATTTTAGTGTTTTTAATAAATTCCATTTATTCATTTAAATATTTATTAAAATAAATTCATAAAATTGTACAAATAATAAATTTTACAAATTAGTTTCAAATTATCAACATTATTGATATATATTTTCACTAACATTTATATTTTAAATGCAATACATTTAAATTAAGAAACAACGTGAAATAAATCATTTTCCAATTAAAATTAAATAATATTAAAAGTGATTGATTTTTATTAATAAAAAATATATTTTGACATATTTTCAATATTTTTTTTTTTAGAATTAATTATTTAAACACATATAATTTAATTATTATTTATTTTTTAATTAATTTGGACTCTGATTATATTTTTTTTTAATAATTATTAATTGTGACATAATTAAAATGTTCATAAACTAATGATGATGATTACTTTTTTTTGTTGGAAAATATTGAAAGTAGAAAGCTTTGATTTTACATTAATTATAATAATAATTAAATGTTGACGTCCGACATTTGTTTGAAATTGGTTTTACCGTCAGGTTCATTATTTCGTGATTGACAATTAATGGTATTAATAACAACCCACTGGCAGTTTTTCCTATAAATACGTCATTACTAAAATAATAACCAATTATAATTGATTTGTAACTAAATGGTTTTCAATGTATTTCTAATGAATTCATTCAGTTAAATTTCTTTTATATTATTAAATTTACTCAAATTTATAAAAAAATACAAATTAAAAAAAGTGTAAATATTGCTTTAATAAATTTATTATTGGAAATATTTATGTAAATAATATTTGAATACTTTTATGATTAACGCGCTTAATTTTCATGAAATATAAATAAATACAAGTGTTTTCAAAGAATGCTGAAATGAATTGAAAGAAAACTTCAAGTGGATTTGTATGAAAGAAAACATGGGGCAACGTGCAATGATCGCATACATCATTTCATTTCACAGTCTCAACAAGATTTGCTCTTAAACAAATATAGTATTCCTATAATTCCATTTATTTATATTATATTTGCTATATTAAATATGTTTACAATGTAAATAGAAAGACAGTTTTTCAGCCAAAACAAATTCATTCACAAAACACATTTCGTAGTAAAATGTTTGTACAATTATTTATATTATAAATATTATATTTCTTATTTATTTCCTTTTTAAGTAAACATCTGATCTTAATATTTATTTATTTCCATTGAATTCTAATAATTAAAACTACTTAAATTATTTTTTTTATATAACATTTTTGGAGCAATTATTTTAGATAACTTGTCCTGACCGAATTTATGTTCGAGAACCGAAATTATTTAGATTTTGGATAAAGCGTTGGACACGTGAAATAATTATTTTATAAAATACCAAAGATTATTGTATCAAAAATCAATTGTTTAATTTATTAAAATTGTATTACATTTGTTTTTGTCTAGAATAAAATAATTATAATAAAACATAAATAAAATACTGTTTAACATGAAACCATTCATTTTTTGCTTAACGAATTACAGAGAAGTTTGGAAAGTTATGAATGGAGAGAATGTTGGCTGTCTCCTTATTCGCTAAATTTATTTTAAAAGACGTTGCGATTTATTGTACCTGAAATCCTTTGACAATGTTTTAAATATTAAACGAATTCAAATGCTTTATAGAACAAATTCAATTTCATGTTCAGTAATTGCAAATTACAAGATTCAAAACGTTCACAAAAAATTAAACAATTCATTCTTAAAAGTTGTTTGAAAATTAAATTGTTTTAAATCATTTTATTTTTTTTTGCTGCCTCGTCGTATTTCTTAACAGTGTTTGTAACAGTGGATCATTTATGATCTTTTAATTATTTGTTTATATGTGATTGTTATAGCAAATGTTATAATTTTTATTTAAATACTATTGAAAAGATAGTCCCAGTAAGGCAACTTTTCGTTAATTTAAGTACAGAAACATGCAAAATTAATAAAATTACCTATTGAAATTGACTACTATTAGAATAATCTATATAGTTTAATTTCTAATAAAAATATGGTCCAATTAAGACAACTTTCCTTAATTCCAGTATAGAAACATGTAGAATCAATAAAAATTCTTAAAATAACAAATTTAGTTTAAATGCTAATTTTCAATAAAATAAATGGTGGAAAAGGCATTAATCCAAATGTATATTCATTTAAAAACTTTAAATATTTCATTTCGATTCCCGAAGGCAAATTTCGATTTTAATTTGAATAATGCTCTCACAGTCAAATGATCTCTAGCAACGAAATACTCTGAAATTATTCGAGAAAACCACCGACTGAATTCATGCAATTCGAATTTGCGGTTGCCACAAAATGCGATCACATTCACAGTTTAATTCATTCCGATTTTCCATTTAATTCCATTCCACAGAAGTCAACAGTTTTAATCATTTAACAAATTAAATAATCCATACATATCATTTACATTGAAACAGAAATTAAATATAATTAATTAATTAATATTAAATCATATTTAATTGAAATAATAATTTTCAGAATTAAAAGGTATCAAAATGTATTATGAATGGGAAAACGGAGAAATTGATGTGGAGTGTTTAATAAGTAAATGGTTTAGCTTTGTGTCAAGTTGGTAGAAGAGAAAAGATAAGAAAAAAAAAGTCCTTGCATTAGAGATGAATAGAATAATTATAAGGAATGATTAATTGAATACAGAAACTCTGTAATTACATAATTCCAATTAAGCGAGTTGTAATGGTGGTATTATATTTTTTTTTCAGTCCGTAATTTCAGGGGAAATCCTGTTTACATTTGCCTATAAATTAAACTGAAAATATATTACAGGAAATATATATATTATATATAATATTGAATGTAGATTTATTTAGTTTTGTAAATAATCTAGTTATTTATTTAATATATTTAAAGCCCGTGCTGATAAAGCTTTATAATATATACATTATTAAGTACTTTGAAATGTTTACTTCAATTAATTGACTTCATTAGAATTGAAACAAATTTACTTCAAATTACGCCGAAAAACTATTATCATGGAAATAGTTTGTTTTAATAAATTCAATACTCTATATAAGATAGTTCAATTACGGCAACTTTCCTTTAATTCCAGTACAGAAACATAAAAAACTACTTTTAGTTCAATATGGAATTTTCTTCAATTGTTTAAAAAAATATTTTCTACTAATTTTGAATGAAGTTTGAAGTTAAATCCATTTTACATAAATACTTCATTAACCTATGATATCATAGCATATCTTAAAGTAAAATTTGGTATGTATGAAAAATTCCTTTACTATGAAATTCTTATTCTTACAGAAGTCATCGTTATTACATAATTCAATATACAAGTTTTTTTTTACTAGATTTATTATAAGTTATATTGGATCAAACTGTAGCCTCTCCTGGTACTTCAATGAAGTTCTCTATTCCCTTGACTATTTTGTTGTTGGAAGTCGTCGCACCATGATTGGTTATTATTAGCAAAAGTTTTTGATTGGAATCGCTGAATATTGTATTACTTCGTGAACTATACAACTATATTTCATAGAAAAACTCATTTTATAATATAATAATAATTAAAAAACTTGGAACTTTCCATTCTTATAATTTGATAACTACATTTTGAATAAATGCAATTTTTCCAATTTATATCTTTCCTCTTCTAATGGAAATAATTTGTAATTATAATTGGACATTAATATTGAACTAATTAAAGATAGTCCAATTAAGGCAACTTTTTTAATCCAAGTATAGAAATAAGAAAAGTCAATAAAATGACTAAAATAACTTTTACATTTACAAATTTAGTTTCATTGCTATTAATAAGGTAGTCCAATTAAAGCAACTTTTTGTTTAATTCAAGTATATAAACATGTAAAGTGGGAATTCAATAATATTATATTTAATTATCTCTGAGTAAGTGTAATATATTAATTACAAATAATTGAAAATAAAATGTTATGTAATAATTTTTGTTTGTTTTGGAGAAAAATCTGTTTTTAACTGAACTTATTATAAATCCACGGAGTAAATCAAATCGATTGAATGCAGTGATTCAGAAGTCCTCGCTGTTTGTCTGTCATTGGCCTTGAGCAAGGTGTCTGGGAATTTTCATTAGCAGACCGTACACATGTGAAATATATTGAAATTATATCGATTTTCGATTGAAAGCATTTCCTTTTGATCTGAACCTTATTGGTTCCCGTTATATCCGTGATATTAAAGGAGCAACATTGTTCTTCTTCGGCTCCATTATATTACCTCTTCTCGGAATGTCTGACCCATTAAAACAGTACAAAAAAAAACATCTTTTTTTTATTAACAATTGTACACATTTCCAAGTTCATTAAATAAAGCTGTTTAACAATTCCCATTGCTGTTTTCATTTACCAACTGTTTGTTATTTACTTCTGCATTTTCAAAAGCATTGAAACGATGATTTGATTACATGGATATTCGGAATTCTACGTAATTTCCCGTACGTTTTTCTTTTGTTTCTACGAAAATTCAATTCCACCCACCCATGATTCCAAATTGTAAATACATGCAAATCTAGAATTCTCTACATCTGTTTTGTTTTGATTCGTTACTGTGATTG